AGGGAATAAGCAGCAAGATAAATCTGATCCATACACCCTAAAGTGAAAACAAGGAAGAAGTACCTTTTGTTGAAAGAATCACCAACTACATACCAATCATCAAAAGGCAGGTGAAGGCATGTGTAGTATATTCAGGTGGTAGTCTTGTTTCTAAACTGCTTTTAGTCTGTAAGCTGTGGTTGTTTGTGAAGCAAATGCTTTCCAGATGGAAAACTTGAGCAGAAAACAAGAACTTATGCCACACACACAGTTAGCAGTTTCTTTTTTTTGGAGTCTTGCTCTTTCACCCAGGCTGGAGTACAGTGGTACAATCTTAGCTCCCTGCAACCTCCGCCTCCCAGGTTCCAGCAATTCTCCTGCTTCCGCCTCCTGAGTCACTGGGATTACAGGCATGCGCCACCATGCCCAGCTAATTGTGTATTTTTAGTAGAGATGGAGTTTATCCATGTTGGTAAGGCTGGTCTCGAACTCCGACCTCAGGTGATCCACCCACCTCGGCCCCCATAATGCTGATATTATAGGAGCAAGCCATCACGCCCGGTCAGGAGTTTCATTTTTAAAGGAACACCAGCCCTTGAATTCCAGAGGATCTAAGGCTAGAATACTGGTGTGCGAATACATTTTGAATTTTATCTGAGATGTGTTCTGAAACTTGGAAAACCCCTTTGAGTATGTTGACATGGATATTTTACCATAGATTTTTGGTTTGAGAGACCACAAGAGTCTGCAAATGTTAGTATGGACACAGTGATACCTCAAGCAATCTTTCAAAGGTTAATTTAAGATAAAATAAAAGTGGTTACAAAGCTAGACCAGAATCATGACTACATTGGAAACATGTATCAAAACACCACAGTGGCCAGGCATGGTGGCTCACATCTGCAATCCCAGCACTTTGACAGGCTGAGGTGGGTGGATCACTTGAGGTCAGGATTTCAAGATCAGCCTGGCCAATATGGTGAGACCTCATCTCAACTAAAAATACAAAAAAAAAGTTAGCTGGGCATGGTGGTATGCGCCTGTATTCTAGCTACTCGGGAGGCTGAGGCAGGACAATCACTCGAACCCGGGAGTTGGAGGCTGCAGTGAGCCGAGATCACACCACTGCACTCCAGCCTGGGTGACAGAGCAAGACTTGTCTAAAAAAAAAAAAAAGAAAAGAAAAAAACCCATCACAGTGGGCCAGGTGCCGTGGCTCATGTCTATAATTCCAGTACTTTGGGAGGGCGAGGTGGGAAAATTACTTGAGGCCAGGAGTTTGAAACTAGCCTGGGCAACATAGTGAGTCCCTGCCTCTATTTATATGAGAAAAATAAAATAAAAAATAAACAAAACCCACCACAGGCTGGGCACGGTGGCTCATACCTGTAATCCCTACACTTTGGGAGGCCAAGGCAGGTGGATCACCTGAGGTCAGGAGTTCAAGACCAATCACCTGGCCAATATGATGAAACCCCATCTCTACTTAAAAAATACAAAAAATTAGCCAGGCGTAGTGGCAAGTGCCTGTAATTCCAGCTACTTACGAGGCCTGAGGCAGGAGAATCACTTGAACTTAGGAGGCGGAGGTTGCAGTAAGCTGAGATTGCACCACTGCACTCCAGCCTGGGCAACAAGAGCAAAACTCCGTCTCAAAAAAAAAAACCCCGCCACATTGTACCACATAAGGATACACCATTCTTGTCAGTTAAAAATTAATACTATAGGCTGGTCGTGGTAGCTCACACCTGTAATCCCAAAACTTTGGGTGGCCGAGGAGGGTGGATCACCCGAGGTCAGGAGTTCAAGACCAGTCTGGCCAACATGGCAAGACACCATCTCTACTAAAAATACAAAAATTAGCCAAGCGTTGTGGGGGGCCCCGGTTGCCCCAGTTACTCCAGAGGCTGAAGCAGGAGGATCGCTGGAACCTGGGAGGTGGAGGTTGCAGTGAGCTGAGATTGCGCTACTGCACTCCAGCCTTGGCGACAGAGCGAGACTCCGTCTCAAAAAAAAAAAATTAATACCATAGTTCTGTAAGGTCCTCAAAGTGTCAACTATTATTTTAAAAGGCACAATTTCACAGACAAATTAGGTCGCCCCCTTCTGGTCATCAAAGTATAAATGCTAAAGGCAGGAAAGATTGAATACAAGTTATTCTATGCAAATACTGACAGGATCTAAATTTCGTCCATATTTGAGTAACTTTTCCAAATAACCTTGGGAAGGCTATTCAATTTTTCAACAGATATCACTACTGATAATTATTCAGATCAATTCAAAGGACACAGAAGATTTTTCAAGATTCTTTTAAAACAGATATATTCAAGCTATTTTGCTTGTTGATGAAACCCAGAATCTGAGGCCTGAGGTACTTAAAATGGCTAGTTGCACAGCCTGTATACCTTTTCTATATTTAGTACCAGAGTGAGTACAAAACTGAAGCTAACCATTCTGGGCAACAGAGACTGTCCCTACAAAAAAGAAGCTATGCATGGTGGCATGAGACTGTAGTCCGAGCTACTCAACAGGCTGTGGTGGGAAGATTGCTTGTGTCCAGGAGGTCGAGGCTTCAGTGAGCCATGATGCCACCACTGCACTCCAGCCTGGCAACAGAGTGAGACCCTGTCTAAAAAAAAAAAGAAAAGAAACTAACAGGCTAAGACAAGCAGGCCAAAGACAACAGTTTAACTCTGCCAAATGTCACAGATACAAGACAAGCAAACTACTATGCACATTAATTTGGCTAACACACAGAGTTCTCAGAATGGATCTCAAAGCCCCCCATTCATCATTCATTCATCAACAATCTGAATGGCCTACTATGTGCCATGCATTGATGAACAAGAGGTATAGCCATTTTTTCTTTTTTTAAGACATAGTTTTGCTCTTGTTGCCCAGGCTGGAGTGCAATAGTGCGATCTTGGCTCATGGCAACCTCTGCCTCCCAGGTTCAAGCGATTCTCCTGCCTCAGCCTCCCAAGTAGCTGGGACTACAGGCGTGTGCCACCACGCCTGGCTAATTTTTCTATTTTCAGTAGAGATGGGGTTTCACTATGTTGGCCATGCTGGTCTGGAACTCCTGACCTCAGGTGATCCGCCCGCCTCGGACTCCCAAACTGCTGGGATGACAGGTTTGAGCCACTGCGCCTGGCCCTACTATTTATATTTTTAATGTAAAACAATTTAGGATACAGCAGCCACTGAAGAAAAATATCACCACAGGGAAAACCGTAAATGACTTCAGGTCCTCCACTCCCCTGAAGCTTCGTTAAGGTGCCACCAGTTTCAATACAAGTGCTTTTCAATCACACCACTTTCATATAAAAGTCCACAAGGCACCTAGGGAGGAACACCGGCATTAATTTCCCCATTGTATTCCTGAATCTATTCCAAAACCTTGGACCTTTCACAATCTTTCCAAACTGCTAATATGATTCTTCCCACAATTGAGGAGGCTACTGCACCCTGGGCTACAGGTTCTAGTATAACTGATTATAGCTGAACTTTTTGTAAATTCCACCTCAATAGCGTTAAACCAACACGTCTAAATGTAACACCAATTTATGAAAAACCCTCACTTGAAACTTTGAAAAAGAGGTAAAATACGGCCGGGCGCGGTGGCTCACGCCTATAATCCCAGCACTTTGGGAGGCCGAGGCGGGAGTATCACGAGATCAGGAGTTTGAGACCAGCGTGACCAATATGGTGAAAGCCCATCTCTACTAAAAATACAAAAATTAGCCGGGCGTGGTGGCGCGTGCCTGTAATCCCAGCTGGTGGGGAGGCTGAGGCAAGAGAATCGCATGAACCCGGGGAGGTGGAGGTTGCAGTGAGCCAAGATCGTGCCACTGCACTCCAGCCTGGCGACAGAGGGAGACTCTTCTCAAAAAAAAAAGAAAAAAAAAAAAAAGAGGTAAAATATTGCTCACTCTGTATTCAAATTTTCCAATAAGGAAAAGTTGGCTAAAAACAGAAGGGCCCACGAAACAAATATTACCTCACAATCTCACATACTTACTTTTCCTGTGTCTCCCAATTTCTCGCACCGCACACGATCTAACAATCTCTCACTACCTCACTCCGTTCCTTAACTATTAACTCATCTACGCATTTTTACAATTTCATCAACTTTGTGAGACCAGTTACGATCCCAGACAAAAACGTATGGAACTAATTTTGAATCAAAGCAAGAGCTGCACTTTTTAACTCCCCAAAGGAATCATGGAGTGAAGGTAGTAGGAAACCTGGAAAAGTAAAAAAGGCGTATTCAATCCTTTCTTCACAATTATCCTTACAGCCTCCCCACTGTAAGGACCCATCAGGAAGCAAGGGAGGCCTCCTTTCCCCTTTATTCTTACACACCTTACAGAAATATTCTCGGGATCTCCGCCCTACTTATCCTAACGGCTCCTCCCCTTCCAGAGCCAGGCCCAGCAAACGCCTGCCCCTCCCCCTCCGTGCCCCCTTTCCCAAATTATTCCACACATCTCCTCCTCCAATCAGCACACCTTGTGCGGCCCAGAGCCCTCTTCCAATTCACTCGAAGTTACTCCTCCGTAGTCCTGCAAAGCCAGGTTCCTCTGGCAGTCCCGGCCGGACCCAGGGTCCTCCGAAAACAGTTACAAACCTCGGGTCGTGCAGTCGTCAGCCCCTCCTCATGCCTATCCAAGCCTCAAGCCTGTCTCCTTCCGCCCTATCCCGCAGCCGCCCAGGCAAGCAACACTGTCCCAGACCACTCGGGCTCCGAAGAGCAGCCCCAAGTGCTCGGCCCACCCCGAAGCGCTTTAGTCTCAGGCTCAGGATTCGCACCCCGCCCTCTCCATCCTTCACGCAGCTGGCACGGACGCCTCAGCGCCAGGCGGAGAGCTCAGCGCGGGAAGCGCAGAAGCAGGACGCTGGACCCGGGCGCGCTCCCCGCTCCTAACCTCCGCCTAGAAAGCGCGGCCCCTAACGCAGGGCTCCCGCCGCCGCCGCCGCGCCCCCTCCCCCAGCTCTCCCGCCTCCAGCGGGCTCCTCACCTCAGAGCAGCGCCCAAGAGCCCGAGAGGAATCGGTGCTGCGCTACTGGCGCGTCGCGTCGGGTCGCCTGGGGGAGTGGCGCCCAGGAAGGCAGCAAGCCGGGTGGCCGCAGTGGAGCCCCTCACTGAAGCGGCGTACCGCAGGCCCCAGCCAACGGCCCTCCCCTCAGCCGAACAAAAGAGCCTCGCACTCTGCGCTGCCCGCCGCCTGCATTGCGCAGGCGCGACGACCCGCCGCACGGCACCATGGGCCTCGGGGTTCTGTCCAAGACTACAAGGCCCGAAGCGCAGTGCGCCGCGCACGCACAGTAGGCGAGGGTGGTAGGGATTTCTAGTTTTTAAACTGTAACGGTGGAGAGACTGCAGCGTAGAGCGTTGTAACCTAGAAAATTAGAACACATGGGCCAGGGACGGTGGCTCACGCCCGTCATCCCAACACTTTGGGAGACCGAGGCGGGTGGATCACCTGAGGTCAGGAGTTCGAGACCAGCCTTACCAACAAGGTGAAACCCTGTCTCTACTAAAAATACAAAAATTAGCCGGGCCTGGTGGCAGGCGCCTGTAGTGCCAGCTACTCAGGAGGCTGAGACAGGAGAATTGCTTGAACTTGGGAGGCGGACGTTGCAGTGAGCCGAGATCCAGCCACTGCACTCCAGCCTGGGCGATGGAGCGAGACTCTATCTCAAAAAAAAAAAAAGAAAAGAAAAGAAAAGAAAATTAGAACATAAGATTTTCATAAGCGAGCCCCTTTGATGCTTGGCCCCCAAAAATCAACCACTTCTGGACAGTTCTGTAATTCACATCCTCAAAATTTTTGAATTTCAGATTCTTCACCAGAACTTTATCATATCTCCGCTGCCTCAAATTTCCAATGATTTCGTAGTCCTCAAATCTCTACCTCCTCAAATCTCTGTAAAATTCCTACTTAGGCCGGTACGGTGGCTCAAGCCTATAATCCCAACACTTTGGGAGGCGGAGGTGGGTGGATCACCTGAGGTGAGGGGTTCAAGACCAACCTGGCCAACATGGTGAAACCCCATCTCTACTAAAACACAAAAATTAGCTGGGCATCGTGGCAGGCGCCTGCAGTCCCAGCTACTTGGGAGGCTGAGGGAGGAGAATCGCTTGAACCCAGGAGGCAGAAGTTGTAGTGAACCGAGATCGCACCATTGCACTCCAACCTCGGATAACAAGAGTGAAACTCTGTCTTAAAAAAAAAAAAAAAAAATCCTGCTCAGTGTTAAGATTATTTCCCCTTCCCGGTCTTCCCTGATTCCCTAGAGTAGGTTAGGTCCCCCCGTAGGCCTCTCATAGCTTCCTAAATTTCCCCCTTTTTATTGGCTGTGCCACAAAAATGTCCCCTTTTTCATTGTCATTTGTGCCCACCTTTTTCAGTGTCATTAATCTCCTTCAGCACCTTTCACTCAATCATCCCAATGAAACACACAATTAGGAAAAAACCATGTTTTTAAGCCACAATATAACTAAAGTTTTTTTTTATTTTTTATTTTTAAAGTATCCTTCTAATCAGGAGGAAGAGGGAAACTCTACTGCACTCTACCCCAAAAGGCAGCAGTTTGCTTTTATAAAACAGTTTTGCTGATGCAGGCACTGTTCAGGGCAGGAGTTTGCATTTATGACAGTTTTGCTGATGCAGGCACTGTTCAGGGCTCTGGAGAACTGTCATGTAGGAAGAACCCAGCCCAGCAACATCATAATAGAGTTTAGTTAAAAGACCTTCAAGAAAGCACAGAGAAGAGGACAGGTGAAACCAGCTGGACTTCCTGCTTCAAGTGAGTACCTGGAGAACTTTTCTGTCTTACAAGAGGATTGTAAAACACCAATCAGCACTCTGTACCTAGTCTTACAAGAGGATTGTAAAATGCACCAATCAGCACTCCGTAAAAACCTCCCAATGAGTCCTCTGTAGCTAGCAAGAGGATTGTAAAATGCACCAATCAGCACTCTGTAAAATACACCAATCAACACTCTGTAAAATGCACCAATCAGCGTTCTGTAAAATTCACCAATCAGCAGGAATCTGAAAGTAGCCAATCGTGGGGAGGACTGAAAAAAGGGCACTCTGATAGGACATAAATGGAAAATGGGTGGGGACAAATAAGGGTGTAAAACCTGGGCCCTTCTTCACACACCCCTCCGCCCCCGCCCTCGCCCCCGCCCCACTTTCTCGCCAGCCAGCAATAGCAACTGGTTAGGTCCCCTTCCACGCTGTGGAAGCTTTGTTCTTTCGCGTTCTTTTGCTTTTCACAATAAATCTTGCTGCTGCTCACTCTTTGGGTCCCTGCCAGCTTAAGAGCTGTTTTTAACACTGTGAAGGTCCGCGGCTTCATTCTTTACCTCAGGGAGGCCACGAACCCACCGGAAGGAACCAACTCTGGACACAAAGACAGCAATTCTTCCTGAAACATTTGGGCTGGGTTTCTATGAAGAAGCAAGTGAGAAGCATCGACTCACTTCCTCCTGTAGTGTACTGTTTTTGAATGATGATAATGATGAGAAAATTAGTTGTAATGATAAGTAGCTACTATTAATGAGTGGGTTTTTTTTTTTTTTTTTTTTTTTTCCTGAGGCAGAGTCTTGCACTGTCGCCCAGGCTGGAGTGCAATGGCAAGATCTAGGCTCACTGCAACCTCCCCCTCCCGGGTTCATGCAATTCTCCTGCCTCAGCCTCCCAAGTAACTGGGATTACAAGCGCACGCTACCACGTACAGCTTATTTTTTTGTATTTTAGTACAGACGAGGGTTTCACCATGCTGCCCAGGCTGGTCTCGAACTCCTGAGTTCAGGCAATCCAGCTGCCTCAACCTCCCAAAGTGTTAGGATTACGGGCGTGAGCCACCACATCTGGTTTATTTTTTATTTTATTTTATTTATTATTATTTTTTGAAACAGAGTCTAACTGTCACCCAGGCTGGAGTGCAGTGGCATGATAGTGGCTCACTGCAACCTCCACCTCCCGGGTTCAAGTAATTATCCAGCCTCGGTCTCCCGAGTAGCTGGGATTACAGGCGCCCACCACCATGCCCAGCTAATTTTTTTGTTTCCTGAGACTGAGTCTTGCTCTGTCACCCAGGCTGGAGTGCAGTGGTGAGATCTCGGCTCACTGCAACCTCCACCTCCCGGATTCAAGCAATTATCCAGCCTCAGCCTCCTGAGTAGCTGGGTTTACAGTCGCCCGCCACTGTGCCTGGCTAATTTTTGTATTTTTAGTAGAGAGGGGGTTTCACCGTGTTGGCCAGGCTGGTCTCAAACTCCTGACCTCAAGTGGTCCCACCACCTCGGCCTCCCAAAGTGCTGGGATTATGATTACAGGTGTGAGCCACCGTGCCCGGCCTTAATTTTTGTATTTTTAGTAGAGATGGGGTTTCACTGTGTTTTCAGGCTGGTCTTGAACTCCTAACCTTGTGATACCCCCCCCACCGCCCGGGTCGTGGCCTCCCAAAGTGCTGGGATTACAAGTGTGAGCCACCACGCCTGGCCTTTTTTTTTTTTTTTTTTTTGAGACAGAGTCTCTTGCTCTGTCACTCAAGACTGTAGTGCAGTGGCGCGATCTTGGCTCACTGAAACGTCCATCTCCAGGGTTCAAGTGATTCTCCTGCCTCAGCCTCTGAGTAGCTGGGATTACAGGTGTGTGCCACCACACCCAGCTTATTTTTCTGTATTTTTAGTAGACATGGGGTTTCACCATGTTGGCCAGGATGGTCTGAATCTCTTGACCTCATGATCTGCTCGCCTTGGCCTCCCAAAGTGGTGGAATTACAGGCGTGAGCCACTGCCCTCGGCCGATTCGATTCTTTTCTTATAAGGGTAACTCAGTCATCATAATCTTGCTCAAGACAATATTTGAAACAATATTGCTCATGTCCACAGGAAATGCATCTGTCACATCCAGCCTCTAAAATCACAAGTAGGCCTGGTGAGGTGGCTCATGCCTATAATCCCAGTACTTTGGGAAGCCGAGCTAGGAGGATTGCTTGAGGCCAGAAGTTAGAGATTAGCCTGGGCAATATAGTGAGACCCTGTATCTACAAAAAAAAAAAGTCAGGTGTGGTGGTACACGCCAGTAGTCCCAGTTACGCAGAATGCTGAGGCAGGAGGATCACTTGGGCCAGGAAGTTTGAGGCTGCAGTGGGCTATGATTTCACTGCCAGTGCACTCCACCTGGGTGACAGAGCAAGACCATGTCTCAGAAAAAAAAAGAAATAATAAATAAAGAAAAATAAAAAAGAAAATCACGAATAATATGGAGAAGGAAAATATTATTTTAGACCTTCTTTACAGCATGTCTATGGGATTAACAGTAATGATGAATAAAAGGAATGGCTTATAGACAGCACTCAGTAAATAGTAGCTCTTTTAGATTCAGTAGATGGCTGCTTCTGAGATACGATAAAAGGAGTAGAGGAAGTATAGAACTTTAAAAATATCTTCCTCCACATTGAAATTCTTTGTTTCATTTTGACCACTACTTGATATTCTGTTGTTAAAGATGTATTCATTTGAGGTTAACAAGCACCCTCTTTTAAAATGCAAATAAACTTAAAGCTATCGCTTCTCTGTTACCGCTGGTCAATCCGATTCTCAGGGCGATTTCCTGGTAGTAACTGGACTCTAATTAAAATATACACTTCTCAAATTATGCACTCATAGCCCTGAGTTTGATTGGTTTTCTTCTGCTAAGGGATCAGTGCTGGAGAAGTGCTTATCATTTGCTAGCATTTCAGGTATGATAAGGATTGGCCCGATTATCAAGTGTTAGAAACTACTGTTGAAAAATATCTGGCCGGGTGCGGTGACTCACGCCTGTAATTTCAGCACTTTGGGAGGCTGAGGCGGGTGGATTACCTGAGGTCACGAGTTCAAGACCAGCCTGGCCAACACCAGCTCTACTAAAAATACAAAAAATTAGCTGGGTGTGGTAGTACATGCTACTTGGGAGGCTGAGGCAGAATGGCTTGAACCCGAGAGGCAGAAGTTGCAGTTAGCCGAGATTGCGCCATTGCACTCCAGCCTGGGCAACAGAGTGAAACTCTGTCTCAAAAAAAGGAAAAAAAAAATACCCTAGGCCGGTGTCGTGATGCCCCACTCCTGTAATCCCAGCACTTTGGGAGGCCGAGGCGGGCAGATCACCTGAGTTCAGGAGTTCGAGACCAGCTTTGCCAACATGATAAAACCCTGTCTCTCCTAAAAATACAAAAATTAGCAGGGCATGGTGGTGGGCACATGTAATCCCAGCTACTCAGGAGGCTGAAGGAAGGAGAATCGCTTGAACCTGGGTGGCGGAGGTTGCAGTGAGCACAGATTGTGCCATTGCACTCTAGCTTAGGCAACAGAGTGAAACTCCGTCTCAAAAAAAAAAAAAAAAACCAGGCTTGGTGTCTCATGTCTGTAATCCCAGCACTTTGGAAGGCCGAGGCGGGTGAATCACCTAAGGCTGGGAGTTCCAGACCAGCCTGGCCAACATGGTGAAACCCTGTCTCTATTAAAGATGCAAAAATTAGCCAGGCGTAGTGGCGGGCGCCTGTAATTCCACCTACTCAGGAGACTGTGACAGGAGAATTGCTTGAAACCCAGGGGAAGGAGGTTGCAGTGAGCCGAGATCGCACCACTTTACTCCAGCCTGGGTGAAGAACGAGACTCTGCCTCCAATAAACAAAAAAATTAGCTGGGCATGGTGGCACATGCCTGTAATCCCAGCTACTCGGGAGGCTGAGGCAGGAGAATTGCTTGAACCCAAGAGGCAGAGGTTGCAGTGAGCTAAGATCGTACCATTGCACTCCAGCCTAGGAGATGAGAGCGAAAGCAAAACTCCGTCTCAAAAAATAAAAAAATAAAAAAATAAAAAATAAAAAGAAATGAAAAGAAAAATACCCTAAAGGGATGGGCACAGTGGCTCACCCCTGTAATTCCAGCATTTTGGAAGGACGAGGTAGGAGAACTGCTTGAGCTCAGGAGTTCAAGACCAGGCCGGGCAACATAGTGAGACCTCATCTATACAAATAATAATAAAAAATTAGCTGGGCATGGTGGCACACACCTATGGTCCCAGCTACTTAGGAGGCTTGAATAGGAGGATCACTTGAGCCCAGGAGGTCGAGGCTGTCTTAATATTAAGACATGTGAGGCCAGGCATGGTGGTTCACACCTGTAATCCCAGCACTTTGGGAAGCCGAGGCGGGTGGATCATGAGGTCAGGAGTTCAAGACCAGCCTGACCAATATGGTCAAACCCCGTCTCTACTAAAAATACAAAAATTAGCTGGGCATGGTGGCACGTGCCTGTAATCCCAGCTAGTCAGTAGGCAGTTTCTTGAGACTTTCCTGATGAGATCAGTGATGAATTTAATAAATGTGATTTTTTTTACATTGAATAAATGCATTAACATTGACTGATCTGCATAATTCTGTACCAGTATTTTTTAAATGGCTTCAGACTCCCTGTTGCACTTAACCTTTTTTTTTTTTCTTGGGAGATGGAGTCTCGCAGTGGGGTCTCCCAGACTGGAGTGCAGGCTGGGGTGATCTGGGTCACTGCAGGCTCCACCTCCTGGGGTTCACGCCCCCCCCCCCCCTCCCCCCCCCCCCCCCCCCCCCCCCCCCCCCCCCCCCATCCCCCCCCCCCCCCCCCCCCCGAACCCCCCCCCCACCGCCCCGCCCCCCCCCCCCCCTTCTTCTCCTGCCCTCAGCCTCCGGGAGTAGCTGGGTCTACAGGCGTTCCCGCCACCACCCTGGCCTGCTGAGAGTGTTTCTGTGGTATTGTTTAGTGTAGAGACAGGGGTTTCACCCGTGTTAGCTGCACTTAACCTTTTTTTTTTTTTTTTTTTTGGGGAGGCAGTTCGCTCGATAGCCAGGCTGGGAGTGACGGGGCTGGGGTGCGGATCTATGTCACTGCCAAGCTCGCCTCCGGTCCCCGCCATTCTCCTGGCGCTCAGCGCTCCCAAAGTAGCTGGGACTACAGGCCCGGCCCGCCCGCCTCGCGCCGGTTAGTTTTTTGTATTTTTAGTAGAGCGGCAGGTTTCCGTTGTTAGCAGGATGGTCTCGATCTCCTGACCTCGTGATCCGCCCGTCTCGGCCTCCCAAAGTGCTGGGATTACAGGCGTGAGCCATCACGCCCGGCCCACTTAGTCTTTAAGAAATGACTCCATCTCCAAGGTGGTGTGTACTTAATAAATAAATAAATAAATAAATAAATAAACACTTCCAGTCTCGGCAACATAGGGCGCCTCTATCTGTATAAAAATTAAAAAAATTAACCGAGTATGGTGGCGCACACCTGTGGTCCCAGCAGCTCCAACGGCTGAGGTGGGAGGATGGCTTGAGCCCTGGAGGTTGAGCCTGCAGTAAGCTGTGATCCTGCCACTGCACTCCAGCCTGGGCAACAGAGCAGGAACCTGTCTCAAAAAAACAAAGAAAAGTTACCATTTGTTGAATTTGGGTAGTATCAAAGAAGAATATTCAAAATTGTTTGAGAAGGCTAAATATACTCTTCCTTTTCTCAACTACATATCTATTTAAGGCTGAATTTTCTTAATGTACCAAAACAACAGAGCACAACAGAGAAAGGGGAAGCACATATGAGAATCCAGCTATCTTCCTTAATTTTTTTTTATTTTTATTTTTTTACAATGGAGTCTCCCAGGCTGGAGTGTAATGGTGCAATCTTGGCTCACTGCAACCTCCGACTCCTGGGTTCAAGCAATCCCCCTGCGTCAGTCTCCTGAATAGCTGGGATTACAGGTGCCCATGACTATGCCCAGCTAATTTTTGTAGTTTTAGTAGAGACAGGGTTTCACCGTGTTGGCCAGGCTGGTCTCGAACTCCTGACCTCAGGTAATCCACCCGCCTCCAGCTCCCAAAGCGGTGGGATTACAGGTGTGAGGCACCGTGCTCGGCCCCTTTCTTTTCTTCCTTTTAGCTGTTTTTCTTTTTTTCAGACAGGGTCTTGCTCTGCAGAGATCAGGGCTCCCTGCAGCCTCCAACCCCTGGTTTAAGCCTTCCTCCTGCCTCAGCCTCCCTAGTAGCTGGGACTACAGGCACATGCCACCACACCTGGCTAATTTTTAAATTTTTTTTTGCAGAGACGAGAGTCTCCCTAAATTGGTAGGGCGTGTCTCAAGACTAGCCTCAAGCGATCCTCCCGCCTCGGCCTCTCTAATTAAAGTGTTGGGATTACAGGCGTGAGCCACCGCGCTAGACTTGCTGAAATTATCTTTAAATAAGTTGTTAAAAGACCATCGCAAAAGTCTTCAACACATTGAACGGTTTTCTCTTGCTCCCTAGCTGCATGATGCTGCTTCGAGTTTGTTTCAGTGTGAGCCATCTGAGTCGCCGGACCCTCTCGAGTCTGGCTTTCACTCTGACAATCGGTCAGTGGCTTTACGAATCGGAATCGGAGTCCCCTTGATAGCTCCGCTGGGGAACAGCAAACTACGAGGTTCCAATGGTGACTCTCGGGACTTAGTGAGGATCCAGGGATGTGGGCTTGCTAAAGCCTCGAACCTCCCACACTGCAGACCGTACCTCGCATTAAGGGAACAAGAGTAACAACCCCCTCACACCCCTCTGCTCTCGCGACCCACTGGCTGACCGTTGCAGACGCCCCCTGGCCGCTGATTGGCTTCCCCTGACAGTGGGCGGAACGCGGCCCCGGATTGGATATCCGAGCCCGTTCGCCGTCCCTCACCCCGCACCTGCGTCCACTCTCTAGCGTCCCAAGTGAGTGGAGGGGGGATCCCGACTCCAGTCCCGGGCCTTCGCAAGCGGAACTGCGCCGTTCGGAAGCGGGAATCCCACTCAGAGCCCGGGCCTGTAGAGGCGGGGCGTCCTGGGCAGCCGGGGTAGGGGCGTCTCCCGTCGTGCACTGGGGCACCGGCGACTCACCCGGAAGGAGAAGCCGTGATCTGGCTATATGGTGGGGCGCGGGCGGTGTCGCTGTGGGGAGCTGGTGCTGTTCTTAGGTGAGAGTGCGTGGGCGGGGCCCCGGGGAGTAGGGGCTGCGCTCAGGTGAGGGGGCGTGGGCTTGAGCGTCAGTAGTGGCACTCGGGATGGTGGCATCGCTTTACATCCTAGGGAGGGACTCTCTTACCACCCGGCATTAAGGCAAGGGCTTGCTGGGGATCCAAAAACCGACTTTTCAGTTTACCTTCAAAGTGTATCTTTCACTTCCTACTCCCCAGGCTTAATCGGAAAGGAAGAAGGATCATGTGGACCTTTCGGTCCTAGTTTGTTGCGAATGGAGGAGGAGTGATCGTAGTAAAAGACTGGGGACATTTACTTAAACGGCTAAGACTGGGGGCAATGGCGAGTATTTTACGTAGACACGGGAGACTTGCGGTGGATTGTGGTCGCCGTTGTTAATTACCTTCCAAGTGAAAGGAGTAGGTTAGAGATGGACAAAAAGATGGAGCATAACTGCTTGGTTGAGATCACACAAAGCTTGGTCAGAACTGGGAGCTTCCTCTATCTAGTACGTGTGATATTTATAATTGGAGGGAGAGCTTTTTGAATTGCTATCTGCCATCTGGCACTAAGGGCTCAAGACTGAGTAAGAAGGGACGGTAGTCTCAGTAGTTCCATCTACTTTAATCACCTGATTTTTTTCTTAACCTGTCGCTTGAAGTTGTTTAAATGAGAGAGAAAATAAATGGTGAGACTAAAGCCTTGTATTGTTACTATATTAGAAGCTTTACGATGAATCTACTTTGTAAACAGCAAACAGTTGGGTACTCACCAGCGCTACTGGTGCTGGTACAGGTGAAGAAAGTGAAGGAAACTTCAGATGTGGTTGAAAGGGCCCAGGAAATGTAGTTAACACCGAGTTATGTAATTAGCTATGGTCACTGACTCTAGCCTTATTTGGATGACGTACAGATCCATCTCCCAGATTATAGAACTAAAGTTAAGAACTTTCTGCTTCTTCTCCAGAGGCAGAACTGAGCTTTTTCTTTTGAGGAGTGGTATCTGTGGGGAGGAATCTAATGAAGAATAGTGGTTGCTAGAAATTACTACTTGGTGTCTAGGTTTTTGTATTTGTTCCAGTGTTTGTTTGTTTTTGAGATAGGGTCTCGCTCTGTCGCCCAGGCTGGAGTGCAGTGGTGTGATCTTGGCTCACTGCAGCCTCCGCCTCCTGGGTTCAAGCGATTCTTATGCCTCAGTCTCCCGAGTAGCTGGGAGTACAGGCCTGCGCCACCATGCCCAGCTAATTTTTGTATTTTTAGTAGAGACGGAGTTTTTGCCGTGTTGGCCAGGCTGTTCTCGAACTCCTGGCCTCAAGTGTTCTGCCCGCCTCAGCTTCCCAAAGTGCTGGATTACAGGCAGGAGCCACTGCGCCGGCCCAGTGTTTTTAAGGACAGTTACAACTGAAACTTCCTTCCTTTTTTTTTTTTTGAGACAGAGTCTCACTCTGTTGCCAGGCTGGAGTGCAGTGGTGCGATCTCTGCTCACTGCAGCCTCCACCTCCTGGGTTCAACTGATTCTCCTGCCTCAGTCTCCCAAGTAGCTGGGACTACAGGCACGCGCTACCATGCGCAGCTAATTTTTGTATTTTTAGTAGAGACGGGGTTTCACCATGTTGGCCAGGATGGTCTTGATCTCTTGACCTCGTGATCCACCTGCCTGGGCCTCGCAAAGTGCTGGAATTACAGACATGAGCCACCATACCTGGCCCATCTGGAGGGTTTTTTTTTTTTTTTTTTGACAATGGAGTCTCGCTCGCACTGTCACCTGGGCCGGAGTGCAGTGCAACCTCCGCCTCCCGGGTTCAAGTGATTCTCCTGCTTCAGCCTCCCAAGTAGCTGGAATTACAGGCGCCTGCCACCATGCTCAGCTAATTTTTTGTATTTTTAGTAGAGACGGAGTTTCATTATGTTGGCCAGGCTGGCCTCTGGAGGTTTTTTTTTAAAAAAAGCCAGTTCACAGCTATTTGTTTCTGAGTGGTATTGGCCCCAAAGGAAAGAAGAATTTCTTCATGAAGGTAGTGCAGGGTCCTATGCAAACTCTTCCTGAGACCAAGTGTATGATGATCATTTCGTTACTAAATTATGGTCCTGAATTTGACAAACCTTTTTCAAGGTACAAAAGATGTATGATCTCCACTGAGTGGATGACTGTGATTTCCTTGTCATCGTCTTTCCCGTTGTTGGTTTTGTTTAAAGACACTTCAGAGGATTTAACTCTCTGCTCCTGTGCAGGCAGTTTATCGAATGCCTGCAAAGAGAAGAGAAAAAAAAAACAACTTAAGGAGGTTAATTGTTCACAGCAAATGGGCCTGCTCTTTTTGGTCTCAGACATTTGACTAATATCTGGAATGTCATATATGGGTTGTTCTGGAATTGGAATTTCCCACCTTTCAGTTCAGGACCCCTTGAAGGTGGTGGCTGCATCAGATAAAAATCAGATTGTCAGCAAGAATACCATTTAAGATGGTACTGCAATCACAAAACCTTGGGTTTGCTCAACACCGTGTAGCCCAGTTTTGTCATGGACCATGCAGCTTCGTTTCTGCATGCAGTGTTTGTCTGTGGAGATACTTCTGGTATATTGGAGAGAATTGAAAAAGCTGTTTGCTTTGCTGATTTCATGGTGTAAACAAGTTCCCCTTCTTTTGAAATGTTAGTCTTGTGTTAGCAAAACATAAGGAAACTCATTACACAGTCTTCTAATGGTAAGGCAGAACTAATAAGAGAATGTGTTTAAAATTAATTGTGGGACTGTAAAAATGAGTGCGTATGTGAATGGGTATGGGGGAAGGAGAGGGAGGGCTCAGAGATATTAGAGATAGTCTTGTTTTCCCAGGAGCCAGCCTGGATCATTTGTTGGCAGTACATACTGGCTGAAGTCAGTTTTCATTTCAAGGTAAATTGGAAAGGGAAATTAAACCTTATTGTTCCGCTCTTAAGAGAGAAGGGGGTGGAGGCAGCAGCCAGGGTGGATGCTGTTGGAATAGTTCTAGAAGTAACAAGATTAGTGCTGTATTTTAACAGAAGGTGACATCATGGGCCCCATTGGACTTGAGTAACCCTGTGCTGCAGCCTTCATGGTCCCCTTGTCGGAGTGGGTGATGTCGCTATACATGTAAACTGCCACATTGGGGAAAATCAGGGCTGAGGCTTTAATGAATCTTTACAAAGGAGCAGAATGCATCCTGGGTCGACCTGTGCAGCTGTGGGGTGCTTGGGCAGAAGTACAAACCGGATGGCATGTCAGGAGAGGAAGTCATTAGAACAGTTGGCTTGGGTTCCAGAGTATGGATTGGATACAGGGAAGGTCCCAACTGGGCAACCCACTCAGGTGCTCCTTGGAGTGCTCTAGCTCTATGATTCACCTGTGAGGAGGTGACTGGTGTTAGTGAGACTGGGAGAAATGCAGAAGCATTGGTGTTTGTGGGGACTTGGTTGTCTCTAGACAGCCGGGAGGGGGCGCTGTTAGGCTCGCTTTCAAAGCTGTGATCTGAGTGCTCACCAGACCCTGTTGTGCCTGCGTTCTTGAAGGCAAAAGTTTTACATCTGGACCCGCCTGTTTTGGCTGCATGTGACAAACTTTCTGTAGACTCCAGCACCCTTTGGAGAGAGGTGGCCTAGTTGAGGGCCTGGTCTGAGAAGGGAGGCAAATTCCCCAGGGCCTTTTAGCTTGGCATTGAGCTAATGGGTATTTTTTTTTTGCTTCCTCTTAAGTTTTACAAAAACAAAAAGTGTTGCCTGGGTTTCCCCACGGGCGTCTATTAAAAACTTTCAGGGTTTTCCCTGGTAAAGAATGGTAAGAACAGAGGCATACTAATCTTGATCCTGTATCCTCTGTCCCTCATCAGATGTTTTCTTCCAATGGGCTTTTGGTGTAGGATGTCGGAGAACCAAGAACAGGAGGTAAGAGTGTGGTCTCCAGAGAACAGGTAGGTAAAAGTTGGAGAGGGGATTTAGGAGGAAAGAGGACACAGAGATGCAAATCATTAGTAGTGTTCTTCCTGCAGTATTACTTTGGTGGTTCTGATGAGCTCAAAATAAAGTCAGGAGAAAGAAATCAATAGCAGAGGCATTCCTAGGAAATGGGGTTCCATTCTGACTAAATTTTTCATTGATTGGAATATACTGGAATGTAAGCTTCATGGGGGCAGGGACTTATGTCTCTTGTTCATGCTTTATCCCCAGTGCCTAGAATAGTGTCTGACACGTAGTGGGGCTCAGTAAAAATTTGTTGAATTGAGTGATTGAATTGAGTGAATGAATGAAATGAATGAATGAAAGTTGGTGTTGAATGAATGAAAGTTGGTGTTGGGTGGAAAAATCTAGCAACCTGTGTTGTCAGAGCTGCCTTGCTCTGTAGCTGAAGCTGAGGGAGTTTTTCTTACCTACAGGAGGTGATTACAGTGCGTGTTCAGGACCCCCGAGTGCAGAATGAGGGCTCCTGGAACTCTTATGTGGATTATAAGATATTCCTTCATGTGAGTGCATCAAGCTTCTGTATTGGGGTCAACGCTCTGCAGAGCTGAGGGGCTTGTACTGAGATGTAACCTTTTTTTTTTTGAGATGGAGTTTTGCTCTTGTTGCCCAGGCTGGAGTGCAGTGGTGTGATCTCGGCTTACTGCAACCTCTGTCTCCCGGGTTCAAGCGATTCTCCTGCCTCAGCCTCCCAAGTAGCTGGGATTACAGGCATGTGCCACCATGCCCAGCTAATTTTGAATATATATTTTTTTAGTAGAGACGGGGTTTTATCATGTTGGCCAGGCTGGTCTTGAACTCCTGACCTCAAGTGATCCACCCTCCTTGGCCTCCCAAAGTGCTGGGATTACAGGTGTGAGCCACCGCACACGGCAAGGTGTAACCTATTTTTGAGTGTTTCTGGTGGACCCGAGACAGAAGACTTGGAAGAAAGGGAGGGAGGAAAGGAAAGAGAGTTTGAGGTATGTCTTTGAGTTGCTTTTGGGCTGCCTGGTGGCACCTTGTTCTAGTTGGGGACCTGATCAGGTCTGTGGCCTGATGGCATGACTCCTCAGTGAGAGCAGTGATAGGGAGCTTATGTGAACTTGTCTTTTTTCCACTAAACCCTTTTCATGTGCTTCATGTGCTTTCATGTATAGACCAACAGCAAAGCCTTTACTGCCAAGACTTCCTGTGTGCGGCGCCGCTACCGTGAGTTTGTGTGGCTGAGAAAGCAGCTACAGAGAAATGCTGGTTTGGTGTGAGTTTGCTCTTGCTTCCTTCTTGGGTCTGTTTTGGGTGCTTATGTAGGTACTGGAGTTGACAATGAACAGAACTTGCAACATACCAGGCACTAAGGAAATTGGGAAATATGTTGTTTCTTTCTTTGTTTTTTGGGTTTTTTGTGTTTTTTTTTGACATAGGGTCTTGCTCTGTTACGGAGGCTGGAGTGCAGTGGTGCCCTCATGGCTCATTGCAGCCTCAACCTCCTGTGTTCTAGCAATCCTCCCACCTCAGCTTCCTGAGTGGCTGGGACTGCAGGTGCATGCCACTACATTTGTCTAATTTGGAAAATATTTTTGTCGAGATGGGGGTCTCCCTATGTTACTAGGGTGGTCTTGAACTCCTGGACTCAAGCAGTCCTGCCTTGGCCTTCCAAATTGTTGGGATTAGGTGTGAGCCACCAGGCCCAGCTGGGAAATAATGTTTTTTTCTTTTTTTGAGATGGAGTCTTGCTCTGTTGCACAGGCTGGAGTGCAACGGCGTGATCTCATGTCACTGCATCCTCCGCCTCCCAGGTTGAAGCAATTCTTTCTGCCTCAGCCTCCCAAGTAGCTGGGATTACAGGTGCCCACCATTACGCCTACCTAGTTTTTGTATTTTTAGTAGAGATGGAGTTTCTCCATGTTGGCCAGGCTGGTCTCAAACTGCTGGACTCAAGTGATCCACCCGTCTCGGCCTCCCAAAGTGCTGGGATTACAGGCGTGAGCCACCGCTCCTGGCTGGGAAATATGTTTTTTTTTTTTTTTTTTTGAGACTGAGTTTTGCTCTTGTTGCCCGGGTGCAGTGTCGGCTTACCGCAACCTCCACCTCCCGGGTTCAAGTGATTCTCCTGCCTCAGCCTCCTGAGTAGCTGGAATTACAGGCATGCGCCACTACTCCCGGCTAATTTTGTATTTTTAGTAGAGATGGGGTTTATCCATGTTGGTCAGGCTGGTCTCGAACTCCCAACCTCAGGTGATCCGCCTGCCTCAGCCTCCCAAAATTGCTAGGATTATACAGGACTGAGCCACCGCACCAGGCCCTTTTTTTTTTTTTTTTTTGAGACGGACACGCTCTGTTGCCCAGGCTGGAGTGCAGTGGTGCAATCTCGGCTCACTGCAACCTCCGCCTCCCGGGTTTAAGCAGTTCTCTGCCTCAGCCTCCCGAGTAGCTGGGATTACAGGTGCCCGTCACCACACCCAGCTAATGTTTGTGTTTTTAGTAGTGATGGGGTTTCACCATGCTAGCCAGGCTGGTCTTGAACTCTGACCTCAGGTGATCCTCCTGCCTTGGCCTCCCAAAGTGCTGGGATTACAGGCGTGAGCCACCGCACCTGGCCAGATATATCTTCTTAAATCATATTTTCAAGTCAGTGAAAAAAGTAGAATCTAATTTTGAGTATTTTTACCTAACAAAGCCATACTAACATCAAAAATATTTTTCTTTCTTTATATACATATGTGTCTAGAGCTCAACAAATATACAGCTAACATTTTAAACACTTTAAATCTGCTTATCAGAAAATTTTAAGTACCTGGACTTATTTGAGAGGTAGTGTTTCCATCCACTCCACATGTAGGTGGCCTGTTGAGTGACCGAGTCAGTTAGTTAACATGTGGAACTGATAAGGCTGTTGCCATGGGGCAGGCCCTAAGAAACCAGGTGAAACTCCATTCCCCTGACAATCCTATATCCTCCAGCCTGGCCTGTTTTTTTTGTTTTTCCCTTTTTTTTTTTTTTTTTTTTGAGATGGAGCTTAGCTATGTGAACCTCTGCCGGTTGTGGTGGCTCACGCCCAGCACTTTGGGAGACTGAGGCAGGTGGATCACAAGGTCAGGAGTTCAAGACCAGGCTGGTCAAGATGGTGAAACCCCATCTCTACTAAAAATACAAAAAATTAGCCGGGTGTGGTGGCAGGCGCCTGTAATCCCAGCTACTCAGGAGGCTGAGGCAGAGAATTTCTTGAAACTGGGAGGTGGAGGTTGCAGTGAGCTGAGATTGCGCCACTACGCTCCAGCCTAGGCAACAGAGTGAGACTCTGTCTCAAAAACAACAACAAAGAAAAAACAAAAATGCAAGCTTCAGGAGCCTCAAACACCTGGGGTTAAGGGATTCTCCCACCTCAGCCTCCCAAGTAGCTGGGACTACAGGCATGTGCCACCATGCTCAGCTAATTTTTGTATTTTTTGTAGAGACAGGTCTCACTTTGTTGCCCAGGCTGGTCTCTCAAACTCTTTGGCCTCAAGTGGTCCTCCTGCCTCAGTCTCCCAAGTTGTTGGGATTACAGGTGTGACCCACTGCATCCCGCTCCAGTTTCTTCCTTTTTTTTTTTCTTTTTTTTGAGACGGAGTCTGGCTCTGTCGCCCAGGCTGGAGTGCAGTGGCCGGATCTCAGCTCACTGCAAGCTCTGCCTCCCGGGTTTATGCCATTCTCCTGCCTCAGCCTCCCCGAGTAGCTGGGACTACAGGCGCCCGCCACCTCACCCGGCTAGTTTTTTGTATTTTTTAGTAGAGACGGGGTTTCACTGTGTTAGCCAGGATGGTCTCGATCTCCTGACCTTGTGATCCGCCCGTCTCAGCCTCCCAAAGTGCTGGGATTAACAGGCTTGAGCCACCGCGCCCGGCCAGTTTCTTCCTTTTTAAAAACAATAGTTGATGGTTTGTGTGGATTTCTTTTTTTCTTTTTTTTTTTTGAGGCGGAGTCTCACTCTGTCACCCAGGCTAAAGTGTAGTGGTGCAATCTCGGCTCACTACAACCTCTGCCTCCTGGGTTCGAGGGATTCTCCTGCCTCATCCTCCTGATAGTTGGGATTACAGGTGCGCACCACCACTGCTGGCTAATTTTTGTATTTTTAGTAGAGACGGGGTTTCACCATTTTGGTCAGGATGGTCTCCAACTCCTGACCTCATGATCTATCTGCCTTGGCCTCCCAAAGTGCTGGGATTACAGGTGTGAGCCACTGTGTCTGGCCTTTTTTTTTTTTTTTTTAAGATGGAGTCTTGCTCCTGTCCTGTCCAGCAGACTGGAGTGCAGCGGTGCGATCTCGGCTCACTGCAACCTCCACCTCCTGGGGTTCAAGTGATTCTCCTTCCTCAGCCTCCTGAGTAGGTGGGATTACAGGGGTGCGCCACCAAGCCCTGCTAATTTTCTTTTTTCTTTCTTTCTTTTTTTTTTGAGATGGAGTTTCGCTCTTGTTGCCCAGGCTGGAGTGCAATGGCTCGATCTCAGCTCACCGCAACCTCCACCTCCTGGGTTTAAGCGATTCTCCTACCTCAGCCTCACGAGTAGCTGGGATTACAGGCATGCACCACCATGCCCAGCTAAGTTTTTGTATTTTTAGTAGAGATGGGTTTCTCCATGTTGGTCAAGCTGGTCTCGAACTCCCGACCTTAGGTGATCCGCCTGCCTTAACCTCTCAAAGTGCTGGGATTACAGGCGTGAGCCACCATGCCTGGCCTAATTTTGTATTTTTAGTAGAGATGGGATTTTTCCATATTGGTCAGTCTGGTCTCGAACTCCTGAGCTCAGGTGATCCGCCCGCCTTGGCCTCCCAAAGTGGTGGGATTACAGGTGTGAGCCACCGCACCCAGCCTACTTTTTGTATTTTGTATTTTTATTTTTGAGACAGAGTCTCACTCTTATCGCCCAGGCTGGAGTGCAATGGTGCGATCTCGGCTCACTGCAACCTCTGCCTCCTGTTTAAAGCAATTCAGACAGGGTTTCACCATGTTGGCCAGGCTGGTCTTGAACTCCTGACCTCAGATGATCCACCCGCCTTTGCCTCCCAAAGTGGTGGAATTACAGGCGTCAGCCACCGCACCCAGCCTGTTTTTTTTTTTTTTTTTTGAGACGGAATCTTGCTCTATTGCCCAGGCTAGAGTGCAGTGGCGTGATCTCAGCTCACTGCAAGCTCCGCCTCCCGGGTTCACGCCATTCTCCTGCCTCAGCCTTCCGAGTAGCTGGGACTACAGGCGCATGCCACCACGCCCGGCTAATTTTTTGTATTTTTAGTAGAGACAGGGTATCACAGTGTTAGCCAGGATGGTCTTTATCTCCTGACCTCATGATCTGCCCGCCTCAGCCTCCCAAAGTGCTGGGATTACAGGCGTGAGCCACTGCGCCCGGCTGTTTTTTTTTTTTTTTTAAAAGAGACATGAGGTTTCATCATGTTGCCCAGGCTGGTCTTGAAGTCCTGAGCTCAAGTGATCTGCCCACCTCAGTCTCCCAAAGTGCTAGGATGACAGGCATGAACCACGGTACCTAGCCGGGAGTGGGTTTCATAAACAACATAGTGTGGCTGGGCTTGGTGGCTCACACATGTAATTCCAGTGCTTTGGGAGGTTAAAGAAGGAGGATCACTTGAGGCCAGGAGTTTGAGACCAGCCTGGGCAACAGAGCAATACTCTGTCTCTACAGATACCTAAGTAAATAAATAAATAAATTAGGTGCACACAGTGGCACGTGCCTGTAGTCATAGTTATTCTGGAGGCTGATGCAGGAGGATTACTTGATCCCAGGAATTTGAGGCTGCGGTGAGCTATGCTCATGATTATGCCACTGCACTTCAGCCTGGGCAACCTGGAGCGAGCAGCTTGGAAAGCAATACCTTGTCTCTAAAATCAAACAGACAAAAATAATGTATCAGCATGGGTTTTATAGTCATAGACCTGGTTCTGATATGAGCTTTGCTGCTTACTAGCTGTGTAACAGTGAGAAATTTACTTAACTTCTCTGATCTAAAGTGAGTTTACTGATATCTTTCTCATGGGGTTTTGGGATGACTAAATGAAATAATGTTTATAAAACATTTAGCACAGTCTGGCTTGACACTTGGCATGCAGTCAGTCAATGTTAGCACCACCCCTTATTAAAAGCTAATTGTGGCCAGGGGCCGTGGCTCATACCTGTAATCCCAGCACTTTGGGAGGCCAAGGCGGGTGGATCACGAAGTCAGGAGATCAAGACCATCCTGGCTAACACCGTGAACCCCGTCTCTACTAAAAATACAAAAAATTAGCTGGGCGTGGTGGTGGGTGCCTGTAATCCTGGTTACTCGGGAGGCTGAGGCAGGAGAATGGCGTGAACCCGGGAGGCGGAGCTTGTAGTGAGCTGAGATCGCACCACTGCACTCCAGCCTGGGCGACAGAGCGAGACCCCGTCTCAAAAAAAAAAAAAATGCTAATTGTATTGATGAGGCTTGTTTTCAAGGTATTTCCTTGATCAGAGGCTAGAATGACTATCTTAGATGTTAGAGTTATCGTAGGTGTTATATCACGTGGCTCCACAGGCCTGTTCCTGAACTTCCTGGGAAGTCAACCTTCTTCGGCACCTCAGATGAGTTCATTGAGAAGCGACGACAAGGTCTGCAGCACTTCCTTGAAAAGTGAGTGGACAGAATGGCTGGTGCTGGCCACTGAGGGTGGAGGCGGGGTGGAGGGAGGTGCCAGGCAGGATGGAGCTCCCTGCTCAGGTAACCAGAAGTTCTTCAGAGGATGGGGAATGGAGAGCAGTTCCTCAGGGTGATGCTCTGTGTTGTGCTACCTGTATTTTCCCCAGGGTCCTGCAGAGTGTGGTTCTCTTGTCCGACAGTCAGTTGCACCTCTTCCTGCAAAGCCAGCTCTCAGTGCCTGAGATAGAAGCCTGTGTCCAGGGCCGAAGCACCATGACTGTGTCTGATGCCATTCTTCGATATGCTATGTCAAACTGTGGCTGGGCCCAGGAAGAGAGGCAGAGCTCTTCTCACCTGGCTAAAGGAGACCAGCCTAAGAGGTAACTGGAGTACTCTTTGCGATAGCAGGGGCTAGGTTTGCTATAACCTGGACCAGAGAGGTGTCCATTTGTTAGGGAAAGTAATGTCATAGCATTGGTAGCCTTTCAAGAGATCTTGTTCTTTGGGTGTGTGGCTTTCTATCCAGGTGGGTCTGTGTTAACCTACCACTGGGTAGCAAGAGCTCCTACTGAAACCTGGGGAGAGAGAAGGGAAAGCTTTCTCATTTATTCGGTATTTTATTCCTCCTCCCTCCCTTATTTATTTTTATTTTTATTTTTTTTGTGGAGATAGAGGCTCACTCTTCTGCCTAGGCTGGAGTGCAGTGGCATGATCTTGGCTCACTGCAACCTCCGCCTCCTGGGTTCAAGCGATTCTCCTGCCTCAGCCTCCTGAGTAGCTGGGATTACAGGCAAGTGCCACCACGCCCGGCTAAGTTTTGTATTTTTAGTAGAGATGGGATTTTTGCCATGTTGATCAGGCTGGTCTCGAACACCTGACCTCAGGTGATCACCTGCCTCTGCCTCCCAAAGTGCTAGGATTACTGGCTAGGATTACCGTGCCTGGCCTAATAGCTTTATTGACATAAAATTTACCTGCCATAAAGTTTACCTTTTTAGGTACAGTTCAGTAGTTTTTAATATAGTCACAGGGTTGTATAACTGTCAGCCACCACAGTCAATTTTAGAACATTTTCATCACCCCAAAAGAAACCTTGTACCCGTGAGTAGTGACTCCCCTGTCCTTCCCTCCCCCGTAGCTCCTGGCAACCACTAGTCTACTTTCTGTGTCTATGCGTTTGTCTATTTTGGACATTTACACAAATGGAGTCATATGATTTGTGGTCTTTTGTAACCGGCTTTTTTCATCTAACATAATGTTTTCAAGGTTCATTCATATTTTATCATGCATCATTACTTCATTGCTCTTTTTTCTCCTTTTTTCCCCCATTTTTATGGCTAAATAACAGTCCATTTGTATGGCTAAATAACCACATTTTGTTTATCCATTCACTTGCATTTATCTGTTTTTTTTTTCTGAGACAGAGTCTTGCTCTGTCGCCCAGGCTGGAGTGCAGTGGGATGATCTCGGCTCACTGTAAGCTCCGCCTCCCAGGTTCACGCCATTCTCCTGCCTCAGCCTCCCAAAGTGCTGGGATTACAAGTGTGAGCCACCGTGCCCAGTCTTTTTTTTTTTTTTTTTTAAATTGAGATAGGGTTTCGCCAGGTTGCCCAGGATGGTCTCCACCTCCCAGACTCAAATAATTCACCATGCCCAGCCATTTTTTTTTTTTTTTAATTGGGCAGCCTCCTGAGTCAGAATAGGCTCAGAGAGACTTCCCTTCCATTCATTTTTGTTTATATGTTCATACTCTTTTTTTTCTGAGACGGAGTCTCACTCTGTTGCCCAGGCTGAAGTGCAGTGGTGTGATCATAACTCACTGCAGCCTTGACCTCCCAGGTTCAAGCAATCTTCCCGCCTCAGCTTCCTGAGTAGCTGGGCAGGCACGTGCCAGCATCCGTGGCTAATTTATTTTTATTTTTTTGTAGAGATGGGGTCTCCCTATGTTACCCAAGCTGTTCATACCTTTCTTTTCCTTTTCTCACTCTTTTCCAGTTGCTGCTTTCTTCCAAGATCGGGTAGGAGGAACTCTCCCTCACCACCTCCCAGTGAAGAAAAGGACCATTTAGAAGTGTGGGCTCCAGTTGTTGACTCTGAGGTTCCTTCCTTGGAAAGTCCCACTCTCCCACCCCTCTCCTCACCATTATGCTGTGATTTTGGAAGACCCAATGAGGGAACCTCCACTCCTCAGTCTGTGAGGAGGGCTGTGGGAGGAGACCATGCTGTGCCTTTGGACCCTGGTCAATTAGAAACAGTTTTGGAAAAGTGAGCTCTGGGTTCTGCTCTGAGATGGTCAGAGAAGATACGGGCCAGGAGACTTACTCAGGTGGGACTGGGCACAGGGCAGGTATTGTGGGAGGCTGGGCTGCTTAGTGTCTTCTAGTCGCCTTTGCTTGGGCTGATTAACAGAGGTCAGTCATAACAGCCCCGTATGCCTCTTCCATGGGAATAAATACTGTGCAGATGTTTGTAAGTTAAGCATAAGGCCCAGGGGCTGTTGATTTTGAACAGAACCCCACATTACTCTCCTGGGGGCTGAGTTTCTGTAGGTCATTTGTATGTAGGACCAGGAGTATCTCCTCAGGTGACCAGTTTTGGGGACCTGTATGTGGCAATTCTAAGCTGCCATATTGAACATTGTCCCAACGGGAGTGGTTGTGTTGTATCCCCATCTTGGCTGGCTTCAGTTTCTGCTGTAGCCCTAGAGCACTTTGTTTCTGGGAGGCTGGCCTCTTGCCTACCTTCTTGCATGGACAGTGGGATGAATATTTACTCTCCCACCTCCTTGCTTTTTCTTTCAATGATACCACTGAATGGAACTGGTGCTGTGATTTCTGCTGCTGGGGATTTATGTCCCGAGACCTTAGCCTGGCTGAGTGGAGCCTGAGACCTGCACAACAGCTCATGGTCATGCCTGAGAGAGAAGTGGCTGGCCACAGCCAGAAGAAACAACAACAGCCAGGAGCCTTCATTTTGGAAAAGACTGTCGGGGCTGTCACTGTCTCTTCTGGTTATAAAGCGGAGACGTGGCTATCTTTTCTGCAGGGTTAGAGTGGGCTCCTTTCTTTTTTGAATCCTTTTCTTCTCCTTTGGTAACAGCTCCCTGCCTCCAGGGCTTCCACCGGGAGCATCTCTGCTGTATTGAGCAGTCCAGTGGGGGTGCGAGGGCTTTGTTTCTGCCTGCCTGAAAGAGAGGGCTCTGGGGATGGAGATGAGGAACAACACGCTCTCCTTCAGACAATGAGGCATTCTCTCCTCCTGCTGCCATTCTTCATCTCCACTGAGAGCCAGAGCTGGTAGGAGCCGAGTGCCACAGGCATTCTGCATTGCTTTACTCTTAGGTTTGCTTGTGTGATTCTTCCCCTGCTTCTCACCCACTCCTCCCTTCTCTCACTATCCTACCCTGTCTGTGGGCTCTTTTACTACCAGCCTATGCTGTGGGACTGTCATGGCATTTAGTTCAGAGTGGAGGGGCTTTGGCCTGAAATAAAATGCAAGTATTTAAGATTGTTGTTGCAATTTGTGTCTAACAAGCTGTAGCAGAGAGGGAGGGAGTGAGGGCTGGCAGTAGTTCCTTTCATAAATCATGAATTTATCAGCATGGAAATAATGGTTTAGAACTGTGCTCTGTAGCCCTCCTGCATTGTGTGTGCAGCTCAACTTCACCACTGGAGGAAGGATTGTCTTCCAAAGAGCTGGGATCCAACTCTTCTCACAGTTCTGGGCATGAACCTTGTTAGGTATAATTTACCTGATGCTGCTTCCATCCTCGCAGCCTGTCTGAGGTGCCAGGTGCTGAAAGAGAAATAAAGTTTGTCAACAGGCAGATGCAAAGCCCTGGCTGGTATTCATCCCTCTTTCCTGCCCGCCTCCCCTGGGTCTCTCCTTTATATGATGCAGCAGAGCAAGGCGAGGATAGAAAACCTACAGAGGCAAATCCAAAATGTCAGAAGAAGTTCATTTAAAAGGGGAAAAAAACTCCACGCGCAACCCTCACAAAAACCCGACAGATGCTAAGCTAATGGCATCCGCTTTGCCGATTGGTGGGGATGGCTCATGAATATTAATGAGCCCAATGCTCCAAATGGTGCAGCTGTGAACCCAGCTGTGCCTGAAGCTCTCTGATCTCCATACTTCCAGACAGGAGCCGGAGGTGGTCTGTGTCAATTCCCTACTCAGCCAAAAAACAGCAAGCTGGGTTGGACTTCTTCTATTTGCTCCTTTTCTTCCTGGAGTTGGTGCTCAGCAGCTAGTTCTGCCAGCAGGCTAGGCTGCTGGGACAGCAGGAGCCATTCAAAGACATGGATGTGATTTTTCTGACTCCCAGCTTTTTTAATGATCCATTAGCAGCGTGCATACAACAGCACCTCAGTTAATCTAAGGCCAGGCACCATCTCCTTTCAGTCTCTCTCTTAGTTGAGTATAGGCCTTAGAAGGAGAAGTCCTAGGAAGGAAAGCACTTTTCTAATAATACAGGCCTAGGGCCATCAGAAAAATAGCACACATGAGTTTTTCTCTCCATCCAGATAGTGCCATAGGCCCCTCTTCTGTTTTGCTCTGTTCCTGCGTGTGCCCAGGTCTAGCCACTGTGGCTGATGACCTCTATGAAAGATGGAGGATTAGCTGGGGGTAGTGGCTCATTGAACTGTTTGTAGGATAAAAATGTTTAGAATTTAGTTTTGAGTCAAGTTCTGTCCTGATTTAGTCACCTTTCTTCTGTCAGATACCTCCATGGCCCACATCTAGTCATCCATAACCCAGGATGACTGATTCCAAGCTTGTGGGGATTGTTTGTTTGGTGGGAGGAAATGTGTTTGTGTGTGTGTGGGGGGGTTTCTTACCATTAAAACACTAAGTTTTATAAGCATAATTTTATTGGCCCTTTTCAGTGACTCGTGAGGAAAGTAGGGTAGGTATATGCTCCTTTTTTCATTGAGGAAACTGAGCTCAATTTTTTTTTTTTTTTTTTTTTTTTTTTTTTTTTTTTTGAGATGGAGTCTCCCTTTGCCGCCCAGGCTGGAGTGCAGTGGTACAATCTCAACTCACCACAACCTTCACCTCCCGGGGTCAAGCAGTTCTCCTGCCTCAGCCTCCCAAGTAGCTGGGATTACATGGGCCTGCCACCTCACCCGGCTAATTTTTGTATTTTTATTTTATTGATTTATTATTATTATTTTTTGACATGGAGTCTCGCTCTGTTGCCAGACTAAAGTGCAGTGGTGCCATCTTGGCTCACTGCAACCTCCGCCTCCCGGGTTCAAGCGATTCTCCTGCCTCAGGCTCCCAAGTAGCTGGGACTACAGGCGCATGCCACCACGTCCAGCTAATTTTTGTATTTTTAGTAGAGATGGGGTTTCACCATGTTGGCCAGGATGGTCTCGATCTCTTGACCTCATGATCCATCTACGTCATTCTCCCAAAGTGCTGGGATTACAGGTGTGAGCCACTACGCTTGGCAATTTTTGTATTTTTAGTAGAGACTGTTTCACCATGTTGGCCAGACTGGTCTCGAACTCCTGACCTCAAGTGATCCACCTGCCTCGGCCTCCCAAAGTGCTTGGATTACAGGCGTGAGCCACTGTGCCCATCCAAGTGTGGTTTTTTAAAAAGCATGTTTTTAGATGATGGTGGAGTATGTTCACATGAGAGATACTTTCCGAGCTCTGTGAGACAAGTCCCCTGCCACCCCAAAAAAGAAAAAGTCTACCACTACATTCAAGGAAAAAAAAAAAAGCAACCCTGCAGGGCTTTTCAGAATTGTCCTCAGAAATCAGAGCTCTTTCACAGTTCTTAGTTTTCTCATGCTAAGGCCTTAGATCCATATGACCGAGTCCAAGGTACCTCCTATCCTCTCTGTTAGCTTTGCTTGGGAGGTGATCATGACTTTTTTTCTTTTGAGATGGAGTATCGCTCTGTAATCCAGTCTGGAGTGCAGTGGTGTGATCTCAGTTCACTGCAACTTCTGTCTCCCAGGTTCAAGTGATTCTCTTTCCTCAGCCTCCTGAATAACTGGGATTACAGGCATCCGCCACCACGCCTGGCTAATTTTTGTATTGTTATTATAGATGGGGTTTCACCATGTTGGCCAGGCTGGTCTCAAACTCCTGACCTCAAGTAATCCGCTTGCTTCGGCCTCCCAAAGTACTAGGATTACAAGCGTGAGTCACAGCGCCCGGCCTGATCATGACTTTTTAACAATCTGATTGGGCATTAAGTTAGTTCCATGTATGTGAATTTGTTTATATGCCTCAGCTCTTGCAGAATATCCTTAACACCCTAGGGGTGGGGTGGACAGTGGTGTGAGAATTGGAAGGATTTGATGTGAGGAGGGGTTGGGGGTAGAAAGGGGAATAGACCAGCTCCCGGCCTGCCTCACTGAGGCTGCAGGAGCATTAAATCAGAGGCTGGAGTAGCATCTGTGGATTTACGTATGAGCAGCTAGCTGAGAAGCAGCTAAAGCCAAACAGATAACCATTGCAGCACGACATACCACTTCCTTAGTGGAGCACTGGGCAGCGATTCTAAGCTGGAGGGGTGGCCCTCTGCCAGCAGGGACTCAGTTCTGTAAAAGGCTCAGAGTCTGGTTTAAAGTACCTTTCTTTAAACTGTTGATGAGTGCCCCCTTTCCTGTTCTTAGCCACTATACTTTTTTTTTGGAGATGGAGTCTCGCTCTGTTGCCCAGGCTGGAGTGCAGTGGCGTGATCTTGGCTCGCTGCAAGCTCCACCTCCCGGGTTCAAGTGATTCTCCTGCCTCAGCCTTCTAAGTAGCTGGGACTACAGGTGTCTGCCACCACGCCTGGCTAATTTTTGTATTTTTTTTAGAGATGAGGTTTCACCATGTTGGCCAGGCTGGTCTCAAACTCCTGACCTCGGGTATCTGCCCTCCTTGGCCTCCCAAAGTGCTGGGATTACAGGTGTTGGCCACTGTGTCTGGCCTTATTAGAGATATGACTTCTCAGTGGGGAAAAAACACTTCTATTTTAGCCATGACTGGATTTGGAGTTGGAAAGCTGGACACCTCTAATCTCGATATAATAAACACAGACAACTTATGCTCAAAATGTTAACAAGAACTACACTTCCTAGGAGACAGAGTGCTCCTGACTCAAGCAGAGTGAATAATTACTTTTCTCGTGTTCAGGGGAGATCTGGTCTATTTTCACAAGCAAAGGAGAAGGAAAAAAAGCGAAGGGATACTTTCATGGTAGCCAAAGGGGCACAGATAATAAACAGAGGTGGTAAAGCTAGGGTGTGAGAATTAGGAGACTACTGGTAAGTCTATAAGGTTTTTTCCCCCTGGAAGGGTAGGAACACAAGATGTTTCTGGAATCTCTGGATTATGGGAAGCCACCAGCCAAAATTTCTTTTCATGCGTGGCTGTCAAGTCTCCTTCCCGTCCTTCAGCCAAGCACTTTTTCTTTGATACCATCAGTTCAGAAAGGGCCAGCCTGTTCGAATCCCGTAAGTGCTCTAGCCCTGTGTGTGTCCCTTTCCCTGGTGGCTGTGTTGGTGTGGGAAGCCCAGCCCACCAGCAGCCTGACCCGGATCCTTCCGGCAGAAGGCCCAGAACAGTGAAAGCCTGGGGCAGTTTGTTGGAGGCAATGCAGCCTGCCTACTATAAGCTGTGAGACTTAGATATATTCTACCAATTAGGGCACATCTGTTCAAAATGCTGAAAGGTGGGCACTGTCTCTTTAAGAGGCATCCCACTCCTCTCCTTGAGTAATGAGGGCTGGGAGCACAAGGGAGTCAGATGCTGATTAAACAGTCCTACTGCCGAGCTCTGTTAGAAAATTACTGTAATTATGATCTGGTCCCAGCAGAGGGATGAGTTCCAATCCTGCTAATAACCCTTCCAGGTGCCTCAGATTCAGGGCCCATGGGAGGCAGCATCGACAGGGCTCTGGCTGGCACCAGGGCCAGTGATGGCCCTCCTGTCTGGTCTGTGCTGGCAGAGACAACAATGGCACTGGACCTCACTTCCTATTTTGGCCTCCTGAGAAGGCAGTGTGATTTTTGGTTGCATTTTTGTTTTATTTATTTTTCGGTTCTGGACAGAGCTCCTGGGAGTCATTTTGTATGAGAAAACTTTCCCATAAATGAACACGAAGGACCAGGAAAATCACAGCCGAGAGATGGTAATCTGTCCTGAATCTGCCCACTTCTGCCTGGGGACCGTAGTCAACACACACAAAGCATGTTGCGTGGCCCCAGCCCCACCAGTGCACTGAGGAGGGAACCGGAACTGAACCCTGTCATCTGCGGCTGCCTTCTGCGTGGTGTTTCTTGATTTGAAGTACACAGCATTTGACTTGGTCCTAAGTGAGAGTTTCAGCGCTCCTCTTTTAGATTTCTGTCACAGAAAAGGGAAACATGCCCTGTGATGTAAGCACAGGGGTCAAGACATGAGAGAGACTAATGCAGCTCTGAACCGGCAAGTATGGTCTTGCTCATTCCAACACATTGTAGTGCAAATATGCAGCAGCGCAGGTGAGCAAATCTTA